ACTTAAATATTTAGCTAGCTTCCTAAATATTTAGGTTGCAACTTAAATAATTAGCTAACAAGTGAAATATTTAACTTAAATATTTAGCTAGCAACCTACATATTTAGGTTGCAATTTAAATATTTAGGTAGCTATTTAAATATTTAAGTTAAATATTTAGCTAGCTACCAAAATATTAGGGTTGCAACTTAAATATCTAGGTAGCTAGCAAAATATTTAAGTTAAATATTTAGTTTATAAACTGTGACACATGAATGTGACACGTATGAATCATATGGTGAAAAACTGACTTTGAAAAACAAATCTGTTCGTTTTTTCTTATAAAAGTCTAAATAAAACAAAAGTATTGGTGGTAATTTTTGACTGTTACTTTACAAACGGCACCTCATAGTTAGGCCAATTATTTAAAACCGTGTTTCCTAAAGTTGGGGAGGGGACCCACAGTGGGGTCCCAAAACATCAAGGTGGGATCCTGAAAAGATTTTCAGAATTAATGGATCAAATTAACATAATAAATACTGTGAATATGACTTTGTTTATTTGATCTGATACCAATAATGATTAACCAAAGATATTTTGGGGTGCAGGGCTCTGCTTCTCCTATTTTGTGGGTTAAAAGCTGAAAAGTTTGGGAACCATTGGTGTTTATTTGTGCTAATGAAGTGCTGTTTACTCTGTGGCAGTGAATATATTTCTGATTATCAGCTCATCTAAGATGAGGCTGATTACATTGTGGGTTTGTTGTTTTTCAGATAATTAGTCCCCAGCAATATTTAAAATGGATTTAATGATGAGTTTAGTGGAAATATTACAGGATTCTTGAAGTAATTTTAAATGATCCTGTAAGGAAACACTGATCCTTCAACCAAACTGAAATTACAAGCATTTCATTGGATGGAAACAAGTCACTGCTTCCTCTTCACGATTGCACTGACTGCAGAAGAAAAGCTCTTGCTTAGTTTTATGCTTTGAATTGATGACCAAAGTTTAATGGGTAACGCTTTATTTTATGGTACCCTTATGACCATGTAATTACAAGGTAATAAAATATAATTAAATGTAATTACTACCTTATTACCATGTAATTACAATGTAATAAAATATAATTAAATGTAATTACTACCGTATTACCATGTAATTACATGGTAATTAGGGTACAATTTTACTATGTAACTGTCTGCAGTAATGTAGCACTTACCTGGTGATGTATTACAATTCCCTATGTAACACCTAAATAAGTAGTAGGTAATTTGGACAGTTTTAAAGTCAAATCTTATTGCAATTAACCACTAACCCCAAAATGTAGTTGCATTCTTTTGGTTATAAATATAGTGTTGAGTTACTATTGAATAGTAATTTGATTGTAATTACCCAATAAAGGTAGTTTTACTAAGAGGTTTTTTCTTTTGTATCATAATTACCACGTAATTACATGGTAATAAGGTAGTAATTACCATTTAATTAATTTTGTATTACCTTGTAATTACATGGTAATAAGGGTACCGTAAAAGAAAGCGTTACCGTTTAATGGAGAGAAAAGTGGTGGAAACACAATTGAACTCTTCAGCTGCTTCAGTGTAATGGTTATTTTTTTCTTTTTAGCTTGAAGCAACGTACGGTATCTGTGAGTCCAGTTACAGAGCAAGAAACAGCTGCCTACAGAGAGGTTTGGTTAGCAAGAAATTCATAAAAAGAGAAGTCAGGATGTAGAGTTTGAGCTGCAGCAGTTCACTATTTTAAAGAGATGTTGATGGAAAACCACCTCCAACAGGTCCAGTTCACATGGGATAAAATCTCGTTGCATCTGGATGTGATCCTGGAGGAAAATTAAGATAAAGAAAAACAAGCCGAAGCACTATCTCTTACAGCTGAAGAGCGAAGGGTCGCTGCAAATTATTTTAAGAGGATTTAAGAGCAACTTCAGAACGAGCTGCTTCCTTTTAGCCATGATCCAGATCACATGCAGCTTAACTCAGGTGCAAGCAAAAAAGAAGAGCTAAAGTTATCATCTGTTTTTTTTTAAAATTATTATTTTGTCTCCGTGTCGTAATGACAGAGCGTCCTGACATCTACAAGTTGGCAGCCCGGTTTGTCAGCGAAACAGCTAGCAGGGGACGTTTCTAAGAGTTCTCCGGAATGCGGTGTTTGGTTTGATGTAATTATTGGAATACATTAGAACAGTATGGTGCATGTCAATCAGTACATTGTAATTTGTACATTTGCACACACAGCGGGACGTTAGGCAAAAGCGTCTGTCATGAGCTTAGAAAGCAGCACTCAAATAATTTTTCAAGAGGGTTAAAAAAAAGGCCTTGGCACCATTAAATGGAACACTAAGACAAAATAATCATTAGTCTGCTCATTCTCTGATGCTTTTTTCTCTTATTTTACAGGATGAAGCCTCAAAATCAGGCAGAAAGAGCAAAAAGAACAAAAGCAAGAAGACTAAATGAGTTTCAACAGAAGATCATTTCTTTCAACTTGTTCAGTTTAATGCAGTAAAAATCCTCTTGTCATTTATCTCCYGCAGTCACAAACCATGTCCTGGATCAGTTTTAGCTGGGATTAGTTTATAAAACCTTCTGTGAAGTGCAAACTGGATGAATTAAAGCAAACTTTGACATTAAGAGGATGTGGTATTTCTTTACAGCCAACAGTAAATTACTATTATTGATCTTTGTGTAGCTAATAATTCCTCTGTACACACATTTCCTCTGCTGGTGTCGGTAAAATTCTCCTGTTCACATCAATGCTCAATGGAACGAGGTTCACAGGATTTCAGCCACACAAACACACTCAAATTATTCACATATCCAGTTTCCCCAAAGCATCTGACGTCCGTTTGAAGCCTGTTAAATATTCCACTTTTTCACAGTTTCCTGTTTTGGGAGCGATTGCCTCTCATTTGGCTCCGCTGGGGCCAAATGAGACCTGCTGGGGCTCCTCACCTCCTGTTCTCCTCGGCTCTCCATTTTGGTGCCACTCGATTCCATCCAGACACAGAGAGAATATCAGATCAGTTTTCACAGAAACACCTGGGATTTGATTTTACAGTTGTACACCTACTGAAATGACTCAAAAACTACCATTAAGACTTTACTCTGTGGTCTGTGTTAAAGAGGAATAAAGAAGCAGAGTGACATTTAATTTACAGGCCCTATAAAAATATTCACTATTTTATTGCTGTCTTAAATCAGTCATGGTCAATACAACACAAAAATCTACGGGGTGCCGTTTGTAAAGTAACACAGTCAAAAATTACCACCAATATTTTTGTTTTATTTAGCCTTTTG